GGTTGTTAAATTTGTATGCTGAGCTTTAACTGAGTGAACGGGTTTGTCTGTCCAGGAGGCGAACCTGCAGAGGGTGCAGCTGGCAGTAAAGGCTGGCGGCGATCTGGAGGAGGTGGAGCTCAGAGTGGTGGAGTTGTTGGACCAGCTTATCAGTGACTGCAGGTAAACTCAGTGTTATTTAAACTTATTGTGATCCACTTATTCCCGAGTGTTCATGTGTGCTTCATTTCAGGGAGGGAAATCCAGGGAAGTTTTTATTTGTTAATGTGTCGTTAAGACTTTGCTGGAAAAAATAGTTAAATTCCTTTAACGACAGATTTTTGCTGGTTAAATTATAGAGTAATTAAAATGATCTCTATCCAGGGAACTGACTCAGTTTAAGTGAGTTCATGTAGCTGCATCAGCCTCAATACATAATATTGAGCTAAGCAGCAATCATCTCTGGAGCATTAAAAGTACATTAATTATTTTTTGTGACAATAATCTTTGTTCTTTGTTTAAAAAAAGGATATTTATCAACCAGCACGTGCTGCACACATCATTAGCCCCGCGACTTCTCACTGGTGAACTCTTCATTTCCTGCCATGTTTGCTTCCCGTCTTTTTTGCTCTCTTTTCCCAGTGATGAGCTGCCCTCACTCGATCAGTGGCAGTGTGCAACGCCTCTGGATCGCTCGCTGAGGCACGTTCGTACCCTCCACTTGCAGCAGATCGCTGCGGCGGCGCTGGCTCTCAAACACGGCCCGGAGACTGAGCTCTCCACGATGCTGGAGCAGGCTGAGGACTGGGCCAACAGGCTGAGGACCATGACTGAAGAGGTGCGTTTAAATAAACTGCTACAGTTTGAGTCAGAAGCTCTTGATATCTGGTGGGTGAAAGTGAGCACAGGAAATAAAAATAAATAAATTGAGTCATTTTTAAGCAAACGTCATATAAGTTTTCTCCTTTTTTTGGACTTCCTATAATGAATTCAAGTATTAATTTTAAATGTTATTCAAGGTGATGAGCTTTGGAAAAAAACAAGCTGACCAACCATTTCCTCTCTGAAAGTTTATCTGGCCTAGAGATGGATGCATAGACACATTCCATGAACTATTATTCATTTAAATTATCCTTTAATGAGAAAACCAGTTACCACTAATTTCTCTGTCTCTTCCTTTACGTCAATCTTCCAGCCCCAGAACAGCCTTCCAGACATCGTGATATGGATGTTGCAGGGTGACCGCAGGGTAGCGTACCACCGCATCCCAGCACACACCGTCATCTTCTCCCAGCAGCACTGTGGGAAACACTGCGGTCAGCTGCAGACTGTCTTTCTTAAGGTGCACACTCACAGTCGACTAACATCAGAGGACATTACACCTCTTACGTTAATCAGCTTCTTGATACAAAGTGTGACTCACCGTTTGTATGTGTTTGCTGTGCAGTGTCCACAGGGCAGTGGAGGAGAAGCCAAACTTCCCGGTCAGTTGAGGGTTAAAGTTTGGTTTGGATTGGCTGCTGATGTCAAACACTTCAATGAATATGCTGAAGGAAAACTGTCTGTCTTTGCCGAGGCGGTAAGAAGTCGACAGAACTAGAATGAAGTCTCAAAAAGAAGTCTTTAAATATTAGCAATGATCCCAGCCTGCCTCTTTCTCTCTGTCTGTAGTATGAGAACCAGACACGGCTCGCCCTGGTGGGCAGCTGGGGAACTACAGGTTTAACCTACCCCAAGTATAGCGACATCACCGGGAGAGTTAAATTGCCCAAAGAGAGTTTCAAACCCTCGCCCGGCTGGTCCTGGGCTGGAGACTGGTACATCAGCCCCGAGAGGACGTGAGTCTGTGCCTTTTAACCTTTCGCACTCTCATTATTCTGTGATTAACAGTTTAAAACTCTGGGCTTTGTTGTGTGCTGAAGCTGTTGGAAAGAACATGGGAATTTTGTGGCTTTAACTGATTTTTTTTGGAGGCACATTTTTAGGTTTAATTTATCCACTAAGATTAACATATTTGCTCCAGATATCAACAAATGGACAGGCTGGAACCCATCAGTCAGTTTTATACATTAAGATGAGACACTTATACATGTTAGGAAATATATATATTTACAACACTTATGTATTTAGTCTGTGGATTTACTTATTTTCACAGGTGCAGCCCTGAACTTTTCTAGACATTATAATATATAAACGGACTGAACCAGACTATTTCCTGGTGTATGCTACACATGTGAAAGGAAAGCTATGGCAAATATCTTGATGTGATTCTTTCCAAAATTTTCAGAGGCTCTCTTGTGAAATTTATATAATTATCTTGAATCGAAGCAGGGTCAAAAGTATACATACAGACTCAAATATACGTACAGTTGCCTAAATCTTTGATTAAGTGGCGCTAAAGGTTCTGGCTGAAGGTCTTAACCTGACAACTTCAAGGTCTATTAAATGCCTCAAGGAGAAAGGTTTTATGATGAGACGAGACAAAAATTGAGCTATTTGGCCACAATGATAAGAGGGATATTGGAGGACTAGAACATTGCATCAGTTGTCAAGCATGGTGGTGGTGCATCATGCTCTGTGGCTGTTTTGCTTCCAGCGGTACTGCTACATTGCACAAAGTGGGTGGAATAATGAAGGGAGAGAACTACCTCCAAATTCTTCAACTTCACCTCAAATCAACAGTTTGTTGGTTGAAACGTGAACACAGTTGGGTGTTCCAACAAACCAGTGATCCCAAACATGCTTCAAAGCTGCGTCTGGAATGGATGAAGCAATCTCATGTTAAGCTTCTGGAATTGCCGTCCCCATAGCCTGACCTCAACCCTATTGAATATTTTTGGAGTTAGCTTAAAAGTTGGGTCCATGTCAGGAAAGCAACCAGTTTAAATGAACTCTACAGTTTCTGCCAAGAAAAGTATCCAAATATTCAACCAGAATTGTGCCAGAAGCTTGTTGACGGCTAACAAAAACATCTGGTTGTGCTAATGAACATTTAACTAAATATTAGAGTGTGTGGGGGGTAAATCTGTATACTTTTGACCATGTGTAGATTAGAGAAATCCAAAATTAGAAGTCCAAAATTACCCCAACATTCATGCCTCCGATGATGGATGTAAGCTTCTGACCACAACTGTAGTTGTTTAGCAGTGAGTTAAATGTGGCAAATGAAAATATTTAAAAATGAAGGTCATTTGTAAATGAATGTGTATGTATCTGTTGCTTTGTGCTGTTAATACTTCAGACTCCTGTTTGATGTGGATGCCGGTCACATGACCTTCACAGAGGAAGTGTTTGAAAACCAGATGAGGCTACCAGGTGGCCAGTGGATCGGCATGCAGGAAGGATACACGGATGTGGTATGTGTAAGTGCTTATGTAACATATTTTGGCTTCAGTCATCGCAGTAAATCTAAGCAAGTGTGTCTTTGTCAGAACGGGGAGAAGGCGGTGCCAAAGGACGAGATTGAGTGTCCACCAGGTTGGGTATGGGAGGAGGTGGAGTGGAGTGAGGATCTCAACAGGGCTGTGGATGATCAAGGTACACACAGGCACACAATAATACCACTTTCAACAATAGAGAGTAAATTAAAACTAATAAGTCCTTTTCTGTGTGTTCAGGCTGGGAGTACGGCATCACCATTCCCCCAGACCGGCGTCCCAAGTCGTGGGTGCCGGCAGAGAAGATGTACCACACCAACCGACGGAGACGATGGATACGGATGAGGCGACGAGACCAGCAGAAGATGGACGCTCTGAGAAAGGTAGCAGAAGAGAAGGAAATGAGTTTGAACAAAATATACTTCATTCACTGTTTTTTCTGACATATTAAATATCGGCGCTTCAACAAAGCCAAAAGCAGGACAAATGAGTCTGCAATGAACAAAGCGGTGACACTTTATAACAAGGGCATGATAAACACAGTTTCAATGTGTGTATTTGCATAACTTTGGGTGTTTTCAGGAAAAGAGATGCAAAATATACTGTAAGCAGTTTTAAGTTCAGCGTAATTTTATGGTAACTTTGCAACAAACCCAACACAATTTCTCCGTCTGACATCGGAAATAAACTGCCCATCGGAGCGTGGGCTGTATTATGTTGATGTACATGATGATGTTTTATTATTCACTCTGAGTCGTGGGCCATATTCTGAAGCATTACCAGCTAATTTTGAGGTGTTGCATGAATGATTGTCAAATAATCTCATAAATAATACATATTAGTCTCTGGAATTCTTAATCCTATTTCTTCATGCTGCATATTGTAAATTCCTCAAGTGTTTTTTTTGTTTGTTTTCTAGGAAGAAATTAAGAAGAAATTATGTTCTTTACTTTTCTCACTTTGGGATTATGATACATTCTGTAACACAGAAGATATCCTACTTTACATCCCATTCTTTTTAGGTCACGGATCCGTGTATCCCCATCTCCATCATGTCTGCCCATCCTAAGAAATCCGGTGATGTGAAGAAGGCAACCATGATAATAGTCAGAGGAACATTAAAGTCTTAAAGTTTCCATCAGTTTGATGGCTTATTTTATTCCACACACTGTATGTTTTATTTTATTTATTTATTTTTTTTGTTTATCTTTTGAGAAGATATCTTTGACCAAAATATCATGTCAGTAAGGATTTGCTGGCCTGATTTGATGTATAAAGAAAGGAGCTGATGAAGACAAGTGAAAAAATGATGTTAGTCAAAAATGTAGATTAATAGATTTTCCTAAATTGAATTTTAAAATAAAAATGAAATTACAAAATTAAGTCATGAACAGCTGACGTTCCCCATAGTAACCACTAGATGGTGGCCAAGCTCCACAAATGAATTTAGGAAAGTTTGCTTTCTGCCCTCATGTTTTTATTTTTGGGGAAAATGAAAAGCTGATTTAAGTTTATGTTCGTGTTCACAGCAGCGTCCAGACGAGGCGGAGAGGGAGGGCTGGGAGTACGCCTCGCTTTTTGGCTGGAGGTTCCACCTCAAGCCCAGGAAGACGGACAGCTTCAGGAGGCGCAGGTGGAGGCGCCGCATGGAGCCGCTGGAGAAGACAGGACCGGCAGCCATTTTTGCCCTTGAGTGTTCTCTGGTGAGGAAGTGCCCCAAATTATGTAGACACCTAAACAATATATAACCCAGGTGTTTTGATTTCACATGTTCAAAACTGCTAATCCTCCTCTGAAAAGTCCTACCCTGAATTTTTGATGGCTGCCTGACAGGAACTATCAGGTGAGTTTTGGATGGTCTCACCTGTGGGACTTCTTTCAGGATTTTTCTCTTAGGAAAAATGAAGTGTCTGGACTAGGTTCTCCTGAAAACATTTGATTGGTTAAACTCTTTAAGGTCAGCCACACAAGTGCCATTTTTAAGAAACAAAGACAACGTCACACAGACCAAATGAGTAGAAACAGACCAATGAGGCGCAGGCTGAGACCTGAAGTGAGCTAGAAAGAAAAAACAAAGTGGCCATCACCCAGACCTGAAGAGCCAATACAGAATGAATACTCGCACAAGACTGGAGATCCAGGGGTCAAACCTCCAGTCTCCTGATTAGCACATGACCTGCTCCACCTCCTGCTGCAAAATCAAGTTCATCCAGTCCAAATTCTGGGTAATTTATCCCTTAATTGGCCTGGGTTTGTGCTTTATCACTGGTATTTGGCGACATACTTGAAGATGGGCTTAAGTGGACAAAATCATCAAAAATGGTACAGATTAAATAAAAAAAGTGATTTGCCCTGTCATTATTTGTACAGTAAAAGTAACACAGTCTTTTATTTTGAAGGCCACACAGAAAGAAAGTGCTTGTAAAAGGTTTTGTTTCTGTTCTGCTCCTCTCCTCCGACCCTTCCTCCACAGAGCAGTATAGAGGACAAGAATGAAGACAAGTCAGTTACGACCACGTTTGGAGTCAACAGGCCTACCATTTCCTGTTTCTTTGAGCGTAAGGCAGCTTCCTTTTTCCTCCCTTTCTTTCCCGTCCCTGTTTTTGTGTGTATAATGATGTGTGTACATATCTGTGTCTGTGTGTGCATTTGTATATATGCAGGTGGCACTCGATACCATCTGCGCTGCTATCTGTACCAAGCCAGAGACCTGCTGCCCATGGACAAAGACAGCTTCTCAGGTACTGAAGACAATGTTGGAACTGCTGCATCATCTGGCAGCCAAAGTTGACCCCAAATCATTTTTTCCAGCAGTTTTGATGATTTTACTTTGTTAGACACCTTTAATGTTGTTTTCCCCCTTTATTCCAATCCAGACGCCAAATTACCGTTTATTCACTGTTTATTACATAAGATGGATTTTCTTGCGTCCCTCCAGGAAGAAATTAGGGTTGTGGTGATTATCGGAGTGTTATGTTTACATATACAGGGCAAAAGTTAAAGGAAGTAAAAGTGATGGTGCTTTTAAAAACATACAAAGTGCAAAATTATCCCAAACTGCATTATCTGTAGGATGCCTTCATCTTTCTGTGTCTTAGAAATAGATTTTTCCTGACTCTGGGTGCATAAACACACAAAGACAGAACATGGCCTGCAGCTGCAAATATAACTACAACATGAAGCAAAACCTGGAACAATGAATCTCCATCTGTGAATAGGATCGAAAGATCAAAACACAAGGATAGTTACAACAATGCACAACTAAAGAAAAAAAACTAAATTGTGTCCAAGGCCATGACAGGCTCATTGTTGAGGGAGGGTGGATTGTTTCCACTCACTTGCTACTTCATATCAAGTAGCAGCCCGTTTCTGCCACTAAAAAAGACAAAACAACAAGTATCCATAACTCGAAATTTCGAGTTATTTTCTCGAAATTTTTAGTTAAGTCGAAATTTCGAGATCCTTTTTTTCTTTTTTCTTTTTTTTTGTGGCGGAAACGAGCTTCCATACTAAGAGAGAGAATAATAAACTTGCATTTAACATGTCTCTGCTGCCCCCATGTGGCCGAAAACATATGTTCATAAGTTAAAACATCACTATTGACAAGTGTCTTTTCACGCTTTGTCATTGCTAACAATCCTTTGACTTTTCAAATAAATAAATAAAGTCTTTAAATGCACCGCAGCAGGCGAACCTTACGGGACATGAAGAAAAAGAAGCTTTGATATGAAGCACCGAGTTGTGTATGTGCAGCTGGTGTTACTGCACTGCAGAGGGAAGCAGCGCAGAAAACAGGCGCACAGAATGAGAGAGCAAAGCACACGCACAAAACAACATGTTTTTCTTCCATTCAGAGAGGTCACGGTAACTGCGACTGCTGCGAGCCTGTGTTAATCA